GCTAGGATTACTAGCCTCCAGTAGAGATATTTCACATTCGACACTTGAATGTCAATGGCACTGACAATGATGGCTACACATGGCCAAGAAAGATATTAAATTACATGTGAAAGGGGAGAATATCCTATCCTTTGTGTTGTTAGTTTGATGCAAGCAATTTAACAATCACTTGCAAGTTGTTCTTTGTTTTAAAATATTCATCTGTATAGTCCCCTCACCGTAAAATCAATGCCCAGGCCAAACCCCTGGACCTAGAAACACGAAATTTGTGGAGAGCACTCCTACCATGACGTAGATGCTCACTAAGGGATTTTTAGAAATTCAACCCCTAAGGGGGTGTCAAAAGGGGTAAAATATGCTCCCCCCATTGCTTCCTATGTGGCTGACAGGCTGCTATCTCCTTGCAGCCCCCACTCTCTGATTGGTCAGCTATAGAGCTCACTGTTCTGAGGTAAGAAAAAAACAGTTACAGGAGAATGCAGAGACCTAATGACAGTTGAGGAAATCAGAAATGGCCAACCATCTGTGAGGTGCAGCAATGCTGCTGGCTCAGTCTCCCCAATGCCTTCAAACACACTCCCCCCCCAACCTCCTACACCTGACAGGTAGCTGTCTGTCAGGTGCAGCAGCAGGTACAGAGTGCTTAAAGCCATCAGAGAGCCCGCCCCAGCAGTGATGCCTTAGAGATCCTGCCAGCCCAGCCTTCAAAATAGCTTGCAATACCCCTTCCCCTCCTACACTGGACAGGTGTAGGAGAGGGGGTGGGATGCTTACAGTCATTGGGGAGGCTTGCTCAGGAGGATTGCCTTAGCGCTGCTGGTGGCCCAGCCTCCCCGATGCCTTTAAACACATTCCCCCCCAACACCAGACAGGGGGGTGTTTGTCAGGTGTAGGAGCAGGGCCAGGTACATTAATACTGCTGGTAGGCTTGCCACATCGCCCCGTAGGGCAGGGAAACCCCTGCCCCAGAGGCCTGTTCCCCGCCGGTGGTGGATCGGGCCCCGGGGGGAGCCCCACCCCGATGTGCGCGTCACCTGGAAGTGACGTGACCACGCCGGGCACGCTGGGGTCGGAGCCACGGTCATCTGAGGGAAAACTCTATGGAAAACTCTCACGCGCTCCAGACGCCAGCCAAGAGTCCCCCGCTATGGAGCAACACCCGACTTGGCAACCCTAACTGCTGGGGAACCTCAACCCAACCAAACTCTGCAAGGGCACCAGACTGCAAGTGAAGGCCCTGCACAGGAACATCATCAAGGCAACACTGCTCACCGTCGTATGCTCCAGAATGAGCTCACCAAGCAGCCTGGTGATCCTAGCAACTGAGGGCAGAACCACCAATGTGGTCTACAGAGAGGTCCTTCATTAGAGGGGGGAAAACAGTATGTATGTCTCACTTCATCTTTTACACTACAATCTTCTCCATTAGAATTCCTACAACAAATGTTGCATTTCAAACTTCACACCATCAGTATTATAACTGGATTTATGGAACTTAAATACCATAACGAAGCATGGGTATCATGCTAGTGTTTAAATAAAAATGATCTGTTCAGAATCAAACCTTTCTTCAAACAAATAGAAAAAATCATGCATGAAGTACAAGAAAAAAAATCCAAGGACTCAGAGAGAACTTGAGGATGTAATCTTGCCTTTTCTTCCATGAGTTTCCACCTATAACCAGGGCCAGCTTCACGGCCATAGTAATAATGGGGGGGAGGTATATTGTACGTAATCTGTTCCACACAGAAGTGGCAAATTGATTCCTAAACCAAGAGAAACCTCAAAGCTATTTTTATTTACCTCATTTATACCCTGCCTTTCTCCTCAATGGGGATCCAAAGTGCCTTGCATCAGTCTCCTCTCCTCCATTTTTTCCTTACGTCTACCCTGTGAGGTAGGTCAGGCTGAGATGGCATGACAGGCCCAGGCTCACCCAGCAAGCTTCCATGGCAAACCGGGGCATCGAAGGTGGATCACCCAGATCCTAGTCCAACACTCACTGTAGTACGCTGGCTTTCTAGTATTTAGTAGCCTGCCATTTTACAAGGCTTATTCTGACCTATGCGTGTAATTTGGAGCCCACTAATAACTCCTCTTGCCCATCCTTTCTTAGTGCCTTACTTTCATTATATAAAGTGAGAGCTGAAGTTACCATCGGGTAGGGGCTGGAGGTCTCCGAGAACTACATCCCAGCTGAGCTTCCTCCCCAAACTTCACCTTCCCTGCCTTCCACCCCCCTCCATCCCACCCCCATCTTCATGAATTTTGCAAGCCAGAATTGGTAACCTTACAGGAGCACAAACAGTTTAAGCTGTGTTATAAAATCAGTGTTTGCTCTCAATGAAATTAGATTTTTACAGCTGCTCCATAATTTACGGTGTTATTCTTAATTCAGCATAACCCCCATTGAACACTGTAGCATTTACTTTTGAGTAAACCTCTACAGCATTGGGCTATTTGTTACTATTTGTACTATTTGTTACTATAATGTAAAGGTAAAGGTAAAGGTTCCCCAGTCGAATCCGACTCTAGGGTTGCGGTGCTCATCTCCGTTTCAAAGCCGAAGAGCCAGCGCTGTCCGAAGACATTTCCGTGGTCATGTGGCCAGCATGACTAAACAACAAGATGCACGGAACGCTGTTACCTTCCCACTGAAGTGGTACCTATTTATCTACTTGCAATTTCTTGCTTTCAAACTGCTAGGTTGGCAGGAGCTGGAACTAGAGACGGGAGCTCACTCCGTCATGTGGCAACCCGGGTCTTGAACTGCTGAACTACTGACCTTTCAAAGCCTGCAGTTCAGCATCTTAACCACTTGAGCCACCGCAGCTCCTTACTATAATGTATGACAGTATTATTCAGCTTTTGTTTAGGATGCTATTGAGTACAATATGCAGTAAAGTTCATTGTGAGGTCATCACTGGTCCTTCACATCATCAGAACATTGCATGTACTTCAATGTATTCAAAGGTCCAAGATGCATCGCATTGTGAATCCACTTTTAAAGCACATCATACACCGGAGTTACCTTGACCCTACTTTGAAAAAACAGTGTCTTCAATATCTAAAGACACTAAGAACTCTGCAGTTCAGTGGATACAATACCATATATTTAGGAGAAACTGACATTTTGGAAAGCCTAATCACAGGGGAAAAGGTTCCTCAAGATGGGAACCTCAACTGGCCTGTATGGACAATCGTACATGCTGCTAGCAGTCAAGGATGGGTACCGTGGAAATACAGAGTGTTCCTAAGAGACGATTTACCTTTAAACCAGCAAGAAGACGTCTTCCAGGAGTTATGTGACTTCTTGTCTGTAACCTATGGAAAGTGTGCCATTGTGGTCAGGGAGAAAAGGCCACCAAGAGTGAAAAATGAAGAGTCCAGTCAAGAGAAGGAGATAAGTGAGCCTCAGCCTGAATCTCCCCTGTACTTATCCAGTATCAAGTGCTGCCTAGAGGTTGCCAAGGCCACAGGTCATGAACTTCTCTCAGTGCCTTTCCCTTACAACTACCTCCACCCTATGGATACTGCCTGGTCATCTTTAAAGTGGTTTGTCATCAGTAACAGAAAGGACTATTCTCTGAAGTCCATACAGACGACCTACTCATATCAGTGCATCCTTTTCAGTGACTTGATTGGAAAAGGAATAGAGAAAATGAGCCCTAGCAAATGGAAGGCAGCAGTTAGCAAAGTGCGGCGATGGGAAAACTACTACCTGGACAAGTTTTCCTAACTATTGCTCCAGCCATTTCTTAAATGATCTCTGACTGAGCATTAGCAGGTCAGTAGACTAAGTCCAAAGGGCTCATTGCCTTCTGTGTTGCTATTTGAAATCACAAGTAGTAATAAAAGAAACCTTTTTAATATGACTCTTTGTGTAATATGTTGCCAGGTTTACAAATGCTATTTAAATAGATGGATTTAATTTAACCCAGCTGTGAGGAAAGGACACATCGACAATTATCCTTCAGCCAAATTATATATTACACAGAGGATATTGGACTGGATCTACCCATGGGTAATTTAAATTTTTAAAACCCCACTGTAGTGTGTATAGATGATTTGGCCTGGGGCACTGATGTAGGTGGAGAACATCAGAGCAATGATAGTGGATTAGACCAATAATTAATCTAGTCTAGCATCCTGTTTCATACAGTGGCCAACCAGATGATCATGGAAGGGCAGATGCTCATGGAAGGCCCACATGCAGGGCACAGAGTTCATCCCCATGCCACCCTCCCAACAGAAATCCCACCTATCTTCTGAGCTGTGTTTGGTCCCAAAAAGAGAGGAAAACGACAGGTATACTATGTGCGCCTACTACTTTCCCTTCTATTGGCTAATAATTGGGTAGGGGAAATTTCTATATGTGAAATAGTGCAGGTTGTTATCTTCCTTCCCCAGTACCACAGCCAAATCTAATGCTCCTCTGTCACTGGCAGAGAAAAACACTAGGGGGTAAGAATGGCCTTGTAAAAGGACCCTCCCCTCTCTGTACAGGGGGAGGAGGAAGGAGCAGGCTCACTGTGTCTCCTGCCCAGCTCCCACCTACCCACCTTATGGGGTGGGGGTGGCTTTCATCCACCTCACAAGAGCAGTGGTTTCCTCCCTTGCTCTTTGCACATGGTGGCAGTCACTGGTTTGGGGGAGGGGGTGCTGCCAATCCACCCCTGCCTACTGATGCTTATAAATTTAAATTATATACCAGGGAATTCAATCACAAATCCCCGGTTTAATTCGTTTGACCTTTAAACCCCAGGTACAACATCGGGATGATGTTGATGATACAGACAATAACTTACAAGATTGCTGTAAGAACAACTGAGACAACATCATACATGGAGCTTTGAGAATTTGAGTAAAACAATAGATAAATGCTCTTTTTGTGCCCAGTCCAAGTCTAAAATTATTATTTTTCTCAATCAAAAGTCAACCAGCAAAATGTTGTTATGAGACAGCTGCTATTTCATTCTGACATTCAGTTTCCCATAGCATTTGATTTTGTATTTCTAATAACAGAATGGTGCCAAGTAGTATCTCAGCCTGCCAGCAGAGAAGATTACACCTGAACAAGGTAGAACCCAAAGTAATTTCTGTTGAATTAAATTGCTGCAATTTCTCTTGAAAGCCACCTACAGCTGACTGTCACAGCCTCATCCAACAATCTACAGATATAACACAGGTCAGGAAGAGGAATTTAGAATACAGAACTTGATTATAGATGCAGAATGATCACATAAGAACAGGCCCAACTGGATCTGAACAAAAAAATCTTACCTATTCCATTATTCTCTTTCTTACAGGATCAGCAAGATACCAGAAAACCTAAAAGCAGTAAAGGAAGCAAAACACTTTCCTGGCTATTGCCACTGGTATTTCGAGGCGCACTGCCTCTGGATATGGAGATACCATTTAGCCTTCATGAACCATGAATTTGTCTAGCTCCTCATTTTAAAGTGACATAAGACCAGGATTACTTGTTCATTTTTGATCTGTGATTGGAAAAAAAAACATGCTGGAAATGGCTCTTTAACCCAATGGCTCTTTAACCCTTTCCTCCCTTATTGCCTTCCCACTAAAAATGCCAGCTCGAGCCATTTTTACTGCCCCTGTAGAAAATGCAAGGGTACTCTTCTTCCCCATATTTCTACCTCTCCCCTCTGCTACTCTCCCCTTTCAAAAAGCTCCATGCCATTGAGCTTTAGGTATTATATTTTCACCTTAGTCCTCCAAGGAGCTCAGTGCGGCATACATTCCCCACCCCTTTTTATTCTCCCAACAACTGTACAAAGTAGGGTAGACTGAAAGGGAGCTTGATCTGCTTATAGTTACCCTGCAAGCTTTGGATCTGTGTGGGGATTTGTATCCAGCTTTCCCTTGTTGTAAACCAAAGCTTGTACCATACTGGCTTAATTATTTTGGCTACTCTTCTCTGCACCTTTTCCAGTACTATGATATCCTTCTTGAGACAGGGTGACCAGAACTGTAGACAGTATTCTAGATGTTGCCACAGCATACGCAGGCATTACAATACTGACCATTTTATAGCAATTTATTTCAATAAATGCAGGTTAACTATGGGACTTTCTAAACTGCATTCTTTATTCTATCCAACCTTCATGTATTATGAATTTAAACAATTTCCAGGCATTTTGAATAGATATGACTCATTTACTTTCCCTTTCAAGCTCCTGTTGACAAATCCACATAATTTTTAGAAATTCCCTTTTGAGAACCATATTTTTCTCTCACCCTTCTCCCGGGGAGTTCAGGATGGCATACTGGGTTCTAGGATTGGTATTGAGGCCAGTACTATTTAATTTATTCATAAAAGATCTGGGACAAGGGGTGAGTAGTATAGTGCCCAAGTTTACAGATGACACAGGATGGTGAAAGCCAAGGGTGACTGTAAAAAGCTCCAAGAAGAACTCCACAAACTAGTGGGTGATGATGTGGGAAATGAAGTTCAATGTTGATAAATGTAAGGTGATGCATATGAGAAGCCATGATGGATCAGGCCAATGGCCCATTTAGTCCAAAAGTGTCCCACAGCGGCTAAAATCCAGGTGCCATCAGAAGATCCATCAGCAGGGCCAGAACTCCAGAAGTTGTCTCACTGTTGCCCCCCCAAGCACCAAGGATACAGAGCATCACTGCTCCAGACATAGTGTTCCATCTATACCTTGTGGCTAATAGCCACTGATGGACCTCTGCTCCATATGTTTATTCAATCCCCTCTTGAAGCTGCTCCATATGTTTATGGACCTCTGCTCCATATGTTTATCCAATCCCCTCTTGCTTGTAGCCGTGGCCACTTCCTGTGGCAGTGAATTCCACTTTTAAATTTCTCTTTGGGTGAAGAAGTACTTCTTTTCATCTGTTTTAAACCTACTCAGACGACTAAGGGGCGACATGATAGAGGTTTATAAAATTATACATGGAGTGGAGAGAGCTGACAAACAACTTTTTCTCCCTCTCTCAAAATACTAGAACTTGAGGGCATCCAGTGAAGCTGATGGGCTCAGAATCAAGACAGACAAAAGGAAATACTACTTTACACAAAGAGTGATTAAGATGTAGAATTTGCTGCCAGAGGATGTCATGATGGCCACAGGAATAAACAGCTTTAAAAGGAGATTAGGTAGACGGGGACGGCAAAGGATGAGATGGTTAGACGGTGTCATAGATGCAACGAACATGAAACTGAGCAAACTTCAGAGGATGGCGGAAGACAGGAGGGCCTGGTGGGATCTTGTCCATGGGGTCGCGAAGAGTCGGACTCGACTGTGCGACTGAACAACAACAACAAGGTAGATTCATGGAGGATAAGTGTATCAGTAGCTACTAACGACAGTGACTGAGGATTCAGACTAAGCCTCTGAATCCCAGAGCCAGGAGGCCTCGGCCACTATGCCCTGTTGTTGGCTGTCCAGAGGAACTGATTGACTACTGTGTGAGACAGGATGCTGGACTAGATGGTCTATTGATCCAGCAGGGCTCTTCTTATGTTCTTACGTACATAAGAACATTTTATCCTCACAACAATTCTGTGAGGTAGGTTAGGCTGAGAGGGAGGGACTGACCCGAGGTCACCCAATGTGTTTCATGGCAGAGTGGGGATTTGAACTCAGATCTCCCCATTCAGCCACTGTAATCACTATACCATACTGGCCCTGAAATCAAACATGGTTGTGATGGACAGTTTAGGGAACTTTTCGTTTATGTGTATATGGAACTATGATTTCTAGTTGCTTCAACCATGTTTACATCATGCCCTCTAGTGTTCAGTGTTGGGGGGAAAGCTTCCTTCTTCCTTCTATGATAATTTCTGAGGGTGAGCCTTGTTTTTTAAACACTATTAAAATTTATTGCACTGTAAGCCTTCATGAGACTGACCTTTCAGGTGCATATGGAGTGGAAATTCTTTTAATTTTTTATATGTAAGATTACAGGGGACAGGGAGTTGTAACAAAGAAACCTGTTGTAAATCCTGTTGCAAACCATCCTATGTCCAGAGTCTCACACCTGCATGTTACGGCTCTATCTTCCCCACCCCCTTTCTATGATCTTGCTTATAAAAATCTCTGTAAAAGATTATTCACTCCATGCATCTGAAGAAGTAGGGTCCGCCTTATGAGAGCTGAAATAAACCTTGAGTCTTTAATGTGCCACTAGACCTGTTTTACTCTTTTATGTCCTATTAATCAGAGGACAGAATTTGATGGAGAAACACCTTTGGGGATACCTTTTGATACCCAAGCTATCTAAGGATTCAAAATTTATCCCAGGGGTACCAGGAGAGCATACTGGCTTAGTCACATCCGAGGAACACCCCAGTGTCCCTGCATTTACATGACACCTTCATCCAGAAGGACAAATGCCCAGTTAAATGCTGCTTGTTAAGAAGTCTCACCATTCTGAGTGGAACTAATCTTCTCTCCTGCCCTATCTGCATTTAGTAATTAGCACATGGCCTAGAAGTGCCAGTTTCAAAGCCAGCTTTCGTATGGCTAGTCCTCAGTCTACAGGAGATGTTATGCCCAACCTCCTCATAACAGACTGGACAAAAAGTCTGAGGGAAAAAATCCAGCTCAAAAGTGTAATATTGAAAAAGAGGGTTTTTTTCCTGGGGGGAGGGGGGGATAAGGTCAGAAATACCAGGGGAAATGCTGTTCAGTCCTGTGATACTGATCCTATGATACCAATTCTTCACCTTGTAACTTTCTAAAAACA